AAAAAATGCATATTATATAAATGGCCCTAATATACTATTTTGTTTTTAGAAAAAAAAAAAACAGATGTGTGATGACTTTCAGGAATGTCAATATTTAAGATGTTTTTTCTATAATGTCTGGTGTGGCTGCGTAACCCCCAGCTGTTTGGTAACTTCTGTTGACCGTTAACTTGATAACTTGACACCAGAATCACCCTGTAAAGTACCTTCCTTGATATTACAGAACGAAAAAAACAATGCAGGTAGGGAATTTGCATTCATTTCTATTCACTTTCAGGAAAATGGTATTGATTTCATGCAAAACAGTAGGTGTAATTACTTCCATCTTGGACTGGAGGTGAATTTTAAAATGTTCTTGTTTGGACCCCAGGCAACAATGAGTTGATGACAAAATAACTGCACATCAGGCCAGGTGCCAGCTGTTTTCATTTTTTTTTATTGTTTAAATTTTGATTTATTATAAAGAAGTTTCGGCGGCAAAAAGCAAATTAATTAATGATAGCAATCTTACAGCTTTACGGATGAGTCGATCATACCGGCACACTTGTGGCCTTGATTCCACTCACTTTTCCTTTTAATTGGTTTGACAGGTGAAAGGTCAATTTTGGGATGTCCCATTTTCTGTCACATCATACAGTAGTTATGATCTCCGAGTGAATTATTACTTTTTAATGCCAGTGGTCAAATGTAATGAAACGTAATTTGAATTTTGTCCAACCTTGCATTAACGCTGTATATTAAGTCGAATTTTCAGTCCATTCAGTAATAAATAAGTTTTGTTGATTGCATATGAGTAGTTTTTGGGGCTATGAATTAAATTCAAATCATGAAAATCATGTTTTTCAAAAATGCGAAAAGTATATTATTTGTGTTCAGCATGTACAGTGTATATTAATTACTTTAAGATATGACAGCTATATGTACTACTAAATTTAATTTTTGTTGTTGAAGATTTATATTCTTGAGTGACTGTGATATTCTAGCTTAGCTGAAGCTGATATGATTGACATTTGACAGTCACCATAATTGGCTCCATGGAGTGATTTAAAGAACATTCAAATTAAAAAAAATTATTAATTAATTAATTGATTTTCACCTCAGTATTTCTTCGAATTTATAGAGAGATCAGTAAGTTCAAGTTATATCTGAACTAAGTTAAAAAAAAATACCCAGTGTCTCACTACCTTTGAGAATATATATAGGAAAAACCATTAAAAATCTTTTTCTCAAGGAGAACAGATTCACAGTGTCAAGTCATATTAATATATAAGCATCTTTTTATTGTGTGGAATAAAGTTATGATTCAAATTATGGCCTTTGCTGTCATAGTGCACAAAAATAGGGAAGCAAATCTGTATGTAACACAAAGAAACCCCCCCCCCCTTTTATTAAAGAAAGATATGCAATAATTCTATGAAGTGAAATGATGACCCCTTAGGGCTAGGGTGGGCCACAGTAGGTGTTCAAAATTTTACAAGGGAATGTTTACGGAAAAATATCTTTATAATATTTCTTAAGAACAGCAGGGCTATGGTGACTTCCATGTACATGTAAGTGAGCATTGTGGCCTGTAGGTCTCTTTTTAATTTTACCAGTATTTCTGTGACATGAATTAGGAGAGGTGAATCTTGTGTGGACAAAACTTTGGAACTTAGAGAATTGAGACTTTAAAGGCTCATACTTGATACAAAGGAAGCCTGTGACCAGAGGAGTGTCTTGCCCCTGTACAGAAAAACTCGGTTATAGTGAAGTCCTTAGGGACCTGTGAATTTACTTCGCTATATCAGTAATTCGCTATATCCATATTACGAATTCGTTAAAGTATATATAATGAATTCGCAGTATGCATTTTTTTCTCTTCAAATATGACTGCCAAATATCTTCTGGGAGGTGTTAAATCGAAAATTTTCCCTAGAGTACTAAAGATATCTGATCAATTGAATTTCATTTATAAATACTGATGAAAAATGATGTAGATACGTATTTGAATTTTAAGATATTAAAAATTCATTATAAAAGATGTAATTTTCATCATTTTTAACCTCTACAGGACACAAAATCAGTTCGCTATATCCGTAAATTTGTTATATCAGAGTTCATTATAACTGTAATATTTTCCTAGGATTTGTTAAGAATTTTGCCAGGGACTCCAAAAAACTTTGCTATATCCGTGAATTCACTATATCTGTGTTCATACTAAACAAGTTATACTGTACCAAGGTCATTTTGGACAAGGGTACAGGTTTAAGAACTGTAAAATTCTTGCCTTGCATGGTTATATTTTTCAGGGGAGAAAAATAAAGCTTTCAACCAATTTCATATCAAAAATATTTAGGCCAAGTATAAGTTTTTAGGGAGATGGCAGAGTTCTCTTTAAGGGTATTTTAAAGAACATACAGTATATCCCCTTTCTCTAGTTGCCCCATGGGGTATTACCTTGGTATTTTTGTTTGGACATTTCTAGAGTTTTTAAAGTATTAAAATGAAACTTATGTGGAGGCTTTTTGAGGTAATGTAAATTTTAAATTGTTCAAATCATCGCCTCTGGGGGTAAGGTGGGGCCACGAAAGGGAATCAAAGTTTTACAGTGGAATATATAGGAAAAACCTTTTAAAAAAATCCTCTTCTCAGGAACCACTGGGAAAAAAAAAGGTGAAACTTATATGGAAGCTTCCTGAGGTAGTGTAGATTCTAAATTGTTCAAATCATGATCTCAAGGGGTAGGGTGGGGCCACAATAGGGAATCAAAGTATTACAAGGGGAAAAATCTGATGATCGAAGAACAGCAGTGTCAAAGTGACTAAGGTGAGCATCCTGGCTCATGGGCCTCTTGTTGAATTTCAACAAAGAAAAGAATGGCATAAAATGTGCTTGGAATATATACATGTATAATTCCTCCATTAATTCTTTGGACATGTTTCCTTTCACTGTGGCTTATTGAAAAATCCTATGTATAACATAGACAGGGAAAAATTTGACAAGAGATTTTTGTGAAATTCTCTTCTTAGTAAATTATCTATAGGTCATAAAGTTGACTGCTTACAAGAATTTTTCCTTGGAAGTTGATGTAAATTAGGATGCAGTTTGATTGAAAAGAAATACATGAATGAAGAAGCACAATAAATCATAGATTTAATTGCATTTTTATCTGATAAAATAAGTGCATATAATTATTATGAAACATCCACTAAATTAAATTTATCCATGCAAAGAAAAGATGTGCAAAATGTGAACCTTTTGATTATTTACTTACTATCAAGAAATGTACAAGCAAAATTGGTTTTCGTCTAAAAACAAGAGAATCGGATGTTATTTGTCTAATTTCTTGAAGTCGCAAATGAATATTGTCTGGCACTGACTCATCCTGAAAATCAACACACAATGTAACCTCATTTTTTTTATTTTGAATTTACCAGTATCAGAATTATCCTTTTAAACCAAAATATATCTCTTGTACTGGAAGATATTATTGGTGTCTCTTCTCTCACCATTTATATGGTTTGTTGGGAGAATAAATTAATGAATAAATTTATTTCATGCTTCTTTTGAATGGTTTTTTTTTTTAGATAATTATACAGATTTCTAGATCAATGAAAGTAGAGTCATGTATACCTTGCCCTCATTTCTTTTGTGTACTATAAAATACAGGTTGTGACTTTGTCTATCTGTCTGACAGGGTTTGAGTCATCATAGAATGTTGACAATGGTGAATATAGTACAAAAATACAAAATCACTAAAAAAAATTATAACTTAACAGTTTTAATAAATAGAGAATAATACATGGCAAAATCTGTATCACACCCCATATCTACCCGAGACTCCAATATCAGCCCGAGGGCCGAAGGCCAGAGGGCTGATATTGGTCGAGGGTTGATAATGGGTGTGATACAGATTTTGTCATGTATTGTTGTTTTTATTATATATTTGAAAATAGTGTCAAAAAAATCATATATAAACCTGTAAATTAATTAATTCTAAATAATTGAATATGTTCTCTTTTTTTTTTCGTTGAATTTCCTTTCTCATTATTTTTTTTCCAAAGGCAATGCATACAGCGATAAGAAATGAAATAATTATAAATTAAACAAATAATTATTTTGAATAGCATAAAATATCTGATGAAAATTTACATTATTTGAAAAAACTTTATAAACAATTAATAGAAAAAGATCCGAGGTATTCCGAATGAAAAATACATAGATGTTCCGGAAAGGTGTAATAAAGGGTGTGATAAAGGGTAAAATAAAGGGTGCCGATACAGGGTGTGTAATACAGGGCGCGTGCCTGTGTTCATATCAGGGATGCAAAAATCTTGTATTATTGAACAAATATATAATAAATAGAGATAAAAAGGGGGTTTTCAGGTAGATATAAGCATGGTGCAAGTGAGATTTTTTAGGCTACAATGTATTTATAACACTAAAATATTTGAATGCATTCAGTTATATATAGATATATATATTCAAAGTCAACTGTAAACATACATTGCTGTTTTGCTAACCAATTTATATATGTACATGACGTATTTATAGTTACGTATGTACGCTATCAAGGCCAAACTTTTTTGTTGTGAAATTTGAATTGGTACAAATATAAAGCTAGCATTGTGGTTATAATATTGAAATTAGGTCACAAAATAAAAACAGATTTTAACTGGTTAGAAGTTCGTAAACCAATGAATTTTCAGTTATCAACATGGTGATGATGCATTCATTTTGTATATTAATGTCAAAAATCCATATCAAAAGCCTTTGATACAAAGCAACAATGTTTTTTTTAATTACGAGGGATGAAGAATTATAGGTTTCATAATGATCTCTGATTTCTTTAGTAATCAGTTTTCAAAATTTATGCTTTTTTTTCTCTCTTTGTTTAGACCACTTTTGGTTAACTGACATTAGTATTCATGTATTGTGACAATCGGGCAACTGTTTTAGATTTAAAGCAGATCGGGCATGTTTTCTGATGCTATATGATGTGTCTCTCTCTTTGTAGAACATGAAGCCCTATATAAGTGCAAGACTCAATCAATTATGGATCAGAGAGCATGAGTCTCTACACAGTGAAGTGACATTAGTTTGACTGCAGTACTACTATGGAAAACACCTGTTGTATGTAAAAGAACATTAGAAGAATGAAGATGGAATTGGTGAACATTTTGGCCTTCTCTGTATTACTTTCAGGAGGGTTTCTTCTAGCCTTTAAGTGTCCAAAAGGGGGTAAGGCTGCCATATTTAATATTAAACAAGTTATAAAAAATAAAAAAGTTAGTTTTTAAATTTTTGTCAGACATTAAAAATATGTTTACATATGTATTTATATACACAATTTATAATTCTTTTTCTGAAGTGTTTAAATAAATTTGGAGAAGTTTCCATCACATATTATTATTAACTGCATTTGATTATACACATAAATATCGAAGAAATTTCAATTATACAGGTAATTTTTATGACATTACCAAGGAAATATTTTTTTCTTAACTGTAAATTTTCCAAGAATGATGGTATTGAATTCTTGCAAGCTTGAGTGCACTTCAGCTAAAAGTATATTGCATTATTTAAATGGATGTATTCTTTTGAAAAATTAATATTTTTCCCGTTAAGTGTTTGAGCAAAAATTAATGAGACAAAACTTATCTTTATGGCTATTTCTGCTACCGGTAATTTGAGCAAGTTATTCATAAAAAACCTCATTCATTTTTTTTTTTTAAAAAATAAATTTCTGTCAGTGGAAGACCTATATTAATCTTTTCAAGATTTCAGAGAGAGAGAGAGAGAGAGAGAGAGAGAGAGAGAGAGAGAGACAGAGTCGTAGCTAGATCTCGTTATATTGATGTTGGAAAATGGAGTTAAATACATAAAAACTTATCATTTTATAAACCTTTTAACCCTATGAAGTGGTACATATTTAACAAGGGTATAAATATTAAAATAAATGTACAATTTTAAAAACTAGTGAATTCCAGAGTTACTAAATGTGATGAGATAGCATGCAATATAGCATGGTTTTACACTATTCTATTGAGCTCTAGTATTGAATTATGTTACAGCTGAACCTTGGTATCATGAACACAGATTTCTCGAATACCATTGATATGCCGAAGTGATTTTGAAGTCCCAACTACCATTTTCTTATTGCATTTTACCCTCAGTATCTTGAACTCTTGGATATCTCAAAGTTTTTTCTCGGTCCCATCAGGTTCAAGATAATGAAGTTTGACTGTATTTTCAGATTTTTAATTTTACAGATATTTTTTTTCGAGTGTATTTCTGTTTGTCAAGTATTTTACAACATTTTGACCTCCCTCCACAGAATAATCTTTTTTAAACTTTTGTTAAATTTAATTTTTGAAATAACAATTAAATCTTCAAATCCACCTAGTAAGTTATGACAGAGTTGTTTGTCATGTACATAAATCAATCATATTTGTTTAGATTTTGACATTTTATGTCTTATCCTTAATTCAAATTTCTTGTTGACATTTTATATGTAAAAAAATTATGAGGGTTAAAATGTTAATCAAATGCAGCATGTAAGTTAAATGAATAGTTCAACACACACTTCAATCGAAAGAAATGTCTTTAATTGTTTCTTTTACAAAGAAAATTATACTTAGTATTACCAGAAATTACATATTTACTCACTCGTGCTTAGAACCAGATATCTAACAGCTGCTGTTGAAGTATAGTATGTCACATTGAATGAACTTTCATATAAGTGCATACTTTGTAGCAGTTTTTTTTAGTATACTATTAAGAAATTCAAGACCAGTTGACATTTAAAATGCTATTGTACTTCAAATGGTAGACAATATCAAATTGTATCTCTAATCTATTTTTTTTCCTGTTGTCTCGTGTCTTATTGTAAAACTTGGACTTTCGGAAACCCAGATCTTATGAAGGATTTGCTGATGTAGAGATTTCTTGGTAAAAGAAACCAATTAATGAAGAAAATCTATTACTGGAAAAAATTACGTTTGTTGACTGCATGGATTTAAAATTGCAATTCAAGGTGTGATGGGTCAATTGTTTTAAAAAAAAAATGAAAGAGAATAAAAAAAAATGAATAAATCATACCAAGCAGCTGTTTCATGTAGGTGTTTTATGTCAGGAATATAAGGCTAAGTTCTATATTTAAACAATACAGAGCTCTTTTTTACTTTTTCACTGTATATGCTAATTCAAAGAACAATGCAAAGCACATCATTGAAATTAACCATTTGGATCACTATATTGCTGAAAGATTTTTTTTTCAGTCATTTTTAATAAATTATGTTAAAGACACACAATTTAGAAGTGCAAAAGTTATATAGAGACTATTTCTTTAAAACTGCAGTTCTGGTAGACTGATTCGCTACTTGTAGAATTGTTATTACCAATATAGACCTGTCAGTTTTATGTCTGTTGTAGCCATACTTCTTGATGGAGAGCTCATTGTCTCCGAAAGAGAAAAAAAAAAATTGCCACTGGAATGAAATTGTCACAAAATTGCAGTGCTGCAAATTTGAAAACTGCATACCTTACGTTGTAGATTAATTACAAAATCAATTTTCTGTTGCTATTTTTGAACCAGCAACATCCCACTCCTCAATTTGGGCACTATTAGAGTGATCTGAAAATTAGATACCTGAAGCCCATTCACGTAGAACTAAACCATTGGGCTCTTTGACCTATAAACATACAGTGTGAGGTATTTTTGTATTTTGCACTATTGAGGTAGATAAAGCATGACATCTTCATTAAACTTCATGAAGTTTTGCAATGGAAATTGGCCTGATTGCACTGTATGGAAACGTTGATAGTTTTTAAGGTAGAAGCATATTTTACTGACAGAGTTGGCAGTTAGAATGGAGTCTCATTTGTAAAAGTGCTATATTTAGGGCATTTCCTGTCATTTTTGCAACCAAGATATAAAAAAAATCTATACCACTAAAAGAAAAAGAGTTTAGTTTCTTTCCTTCATTATGGTGGAGGAGAGATATGTAATTTTTTGGTTTATGCAAATTTAAAGAAAATGATGGAGCTATCATGCATGTTACATAAGGAAATTTCAAAGTTGCCTTATTTAATTAATTTGCTTGCCTTAGATTCAAGAAATTTTTATTGATTATGAGTTCTTATCATCTGGTAAATCCCAATAGGTTGGATACATATACTATGAAATTTTTACTGACATAATTATATGACTTGACCAAACTTTAACATATATTGCATGGGAAGATCCAGCTTGAGAGGGGGTGTTGGTTAGGGGGTGTTGTGGGGAGGGGGGATTGGAGAATTTGAACATTTTTCTTAGCATCCTGAACTTGATGGGGATGAGAAAAAGAAAACTAGAGATATCTGAGGATTAGAGATATTGAGATTAAAAAACATAAAGAAAAAGTGGTTTTGGACTTCCAGCTTCCAACTTACTTCAGCATTTCTGGTATTTGAGATATCAGTGGTTCAAGATACAGAAGTTTATACTGCATTGCATTTTGTACTGAAAATCTTACTTGAAAATGTAACTTCTAAAAAAATCATGTCTTGGATTAAAAAAAAAAGAATAGCCGATTGAGGTACTTTAAATCAGATGTTCTTTGCTTTGATTCAATGTCACTGCATATAATGCTCTCCCTAGGCAAAAGTATGAAAATCTTAGACAGCTAGGAAAGCTAAAATTAATATGAATCAGAATTCATGTAAAAAAAATTCTCTGGACTTTTAATAAGTGAAAGAGTTATAAGACCTTGTCAGAATAATGGGTATATACTGAGTGATCCTTTTTTTCAGATTGTATGAAATTGCATGTATTACATCTATAAAGTGCAATGGGAATTATACATTAATAAGTGATAAAAAATCTGATTAGTGTAGGCATTAGTTGATTCCTCCCCAATCCGGGTAATGGTTTATTCAGTGTTTCTGTGTATGGTTAAACAATTCCTGGATTATTGATATTTTTTTTTTAGAAAGTAGATTATCATCCTTTTTTTCCCCCTTTGACAGAAATTTACTGCTGTAATAAATTCTTTTCACAGCTGTATGCTGGAGAATAAGATACATTCTTATAAAACATTCACAATTAACTGGTTTGTCTCACCATAACCTGGTAATTTTTCATGATTTACATCTTATCATATTCATAATTAATGGTCACTATACCGGATACATATTGATCTATGAAGTCTGAGGACCATGTATCTCGGAAACTGAAAAAAGATAGTTGAAAGATATAGGGGGAGCATTTTAATGATTTCTCTTATTAAATTACAGCTGACAAATATAGAGACAGGCACTCAAAGGTAAACAAAGAAGGTGTTGTACTTAACACGCCTACTGTCACCTACCCCCAGAATCAATTTCAAAAATTCTTTGAAAATTGAAGTTAGCTAGAAAAAAAAAATCAATTTTTCTTATCATGTATTTTAATATGAAGGTAGAGACTGAAACATAATATAATTTTTGTGGTGTAATGGCACATATTCCCAGAAAGCCTTAATAAGTGGGAAGCAAAGGTAGTACATTGATCATAAGAAATACAGTCAAATCTTGTTATCTCAAACTTAATGGGGCCAAGATAAACGAGATTTTATATATCCAAGAATTCGAGATATCGAGATTAAAAGAAAATTAAAGTGATTGGAACTTCCAACAGATTTTGACTATCCATGGTAAACGATCGAGGCATCAATATTCAAGATATCAAAGTTCAATTAAATATATACTATGTGAATTTGTTAGTAAATGATAATAGTAGAGAAAAAGATACTCAGAATATGCGAGGATTTGCTACAATAATGAAACTCTGTTTTAATTATGTATTTGAAACTATTATGAATTTCAAATATAATTCATGATAATGAGAAATGAGGCTGTAATTAGACAACAAATTATGTGGCAGATATTTTTCTGAACTTTTATCTCTAAAACTTGTCCTTTCGACATATGTTTTGCAGAAATACAGACCTACACCCCTATTTTCTACTTTGGGGAATTCATTAACTTGACCTGCGTCCTCAAGGTCGACAGAGTTGGCAGCGCAAAACTACTGAGCGAGGGCAGGCTCTACTTCATGTCCTCAAAACTGGAAGAGGGTAAAGACGACCGAACACTCTATGGAAAACCTTTGAATAACCCTGGAGAGGTGGGAATAAGTATATTGGATATGGTGAACCAAACAGCCAGCAAGAAGAACAAATATATGCATTATGTCTGTCTGTATGACCAGGACGGTCAAGAACGTCCTTGTCTTGTGGACCAAACATTTGTAGAAATCGAATGTAAGTATAACACTCACCGACTGGAATGAGTTTTATTTCATTGAAATGTTGAAATGTAACATATTTGTTACATCGGATCCGAGATCTTTTTATGTAGTAATAAGTTTTCAGAATGTTGTCTTGCTGTTGACTAAGACACCCTCCCCTACCCTTTCAGATATCCTTTAAATGCATTGAAAAACTTTCTTATCATAGCAGAATAAATTGATGTTTCTTTCTCTCTCCTATGTTGACATTACTAAATTGGGTCCTTTCAGAAAACCTCCCATTTTGAAGAGTTTTGTTGGTTTTTGTATAACACACTAATGCAATAATAGTGCTGCTTACATTTTATGATTTGCATATTTAACTTTTTAAGTCCATTGAAGTCATTCCTCAGTTTTCATTTTTATAGAATAATGGACTTATATTTATATTCCACAATTTAAAATCTTCACAACCAGTTACAGGCTAGTTTTAAGTAAACAATTATTGTAGGTAGAAATCATTGATCCTGAAGGTTTTTTGATATTTCATTTGAAAGATGTCATTTGTAAAAGGAAATGGAGAACTGCAGGCTTATTACATACCCCTTCTTTATATGACTATTTAAATAAACTTTATAAATGTTTTCATATATTCTTTTAAATAAATATTAAATAAATAGTGAATTTTATGTTATATTTAACTACACTGGGATGGATAGTTTTGTAAGCATGTAATAAGCTAAAGGTCCTAAGAAAACATTTCAAGCACTGTTTTGTCCTACAGATAGTAAGGAATTACCGGTATAATGACAAATAAGTCAAAAGCTTACATTAGTATTTTAATTAATGAAATTGTAAAAACTAAGTCTAGAAGTTTCTAACAGTATTCAGACAGACAAACAAGTATTAAAACTAGATGCTTCAAGATGTCTTTTCCGCAGAAGTCTGTGTCCAGTTTTCGGTTGAGTTACCAGTATATTAAAATAGCGATGTAGAAATGTCATCCATATGCAGCAAGCTAAAGTGTATGTCCTACTTGCCCCCCGCCCTTCCCCCAACCCTTAGCCACTATATTCATGGAAGGTGAGAAGATAACAGAGGCAAATGATATAGACATTGACAAGTGATGACATTACTGCCCTTAGTTAAAGTACATTATTTACATTTGCAAATATTTTTCTTAGATGAACCTATTGAAGAGAAAATATGTTCAATTCTGTATGAACTTATTAGGGGGTCAGAGGTCATGGCGTGACCGAATCACACAGCGAGATGATATCTTATCTACATATTTCTGTTACGGTGACACTGGTTTCGGAACTTCTAAGCCGTTAAAGCGATGAAAAAGATAAAATAATTGAAACATATATGTTTTTCTTCGTTCAACAAATGATCATTTAGTTCTTTCTTCGGTATGAGGAATGTTTTTAATTAGCCTAAAATCACGCTTACCTTTTTAACCCGAAATTCCTTTGAAGGTATGTAAACTGAAGACGATACCACTGCTTTTGACTTCATATATTAAGAACTCATACACTAATAGTAAGATTATTCTCAGTAGCGATCATGGATTTTTCATTATGAACAGATATTTCCTGAACTGGATTGCTGAACATCAATATGTAAGTATTCAAATGTTGGAGCGAGGCGAACTCTCAAGACCAAACAGCTTCGAGGTCATTGCGCGTCACAACATAGCAATACGGCGGGCCGTTCGTGTAATAAATGCAGACCCCAGCAATCTTTTCAGAATATTCGTCTCAAATGTAAATAAAAGTAATAAACAACAATGCTAAAAAGTTCACTGGGAAATGAACTTGGTTGGTACGTGATCAAATCTTCTGAGAAGCCCTTCGGGCTTCACAGGATTTGATCACGTGACCAACCAAGTTCATTTCCCAGAGAACTTTTTAACATTGTTGTTTATTTCTTAAACATATAGAAATGCTCATCTTTTCTCAAAGTTCAAGAAGAGTTAAATTTTGAAAATGACTGACATATAATACTGGATATTTAAATGTGTATCATATCAAACATCCAAATTTAATAAAAGCTTTCATTGTAGTACAGTGCAATAGAATTGGCCAAGTTCTCTATGAATGAATGAATGAAATTATAATGACAATTCTTTAATCAATTGTACATCAAGAGTGTAAATTTAAACTTCAGCCTTTCAACTTTGTTGAATGTCATCCCAGTTTGTACTGATCAGAGGTAGAAATAAAATTTATTTTCTACAAGGAAGGAACTAGAGGAACTTATTTATATAGAAAAACTTGGACAAACATGTCCCTCTGTACCTGGTAATATGTCCTGGGCATGTACTTTGTGTCATTATTTAAAGTAGGTCAGGGCACAAATATTTTTGTGGTGACTTAGTTGAATACAGTCAATAAAATTAAAAAAAAAATAATAAATGACATTGATTTTAATTGTATATAATTATGAAAGTCAATTAATTTTGATTTAATTTTGCTATTATAGTACCCTCTTATGCTATGCGTGGAATGTTTAAGAATTTTCTCTTTTTTTTTCTCTGGTTAACTTTGATGTCAATTTTAATGAAATAATATGCCATATACTTTCAATCTTAGTATATTCTGCAAAAAGTTAAACAAAGTAATTCTTTTCTTGTTGAAGTTCTTTTTTGTAGAAGTACCTAGTAGATGGAATTATGATACTGAGAAGATTCCAGTCTTAAATCTCTTCGGTTCATACAGAATTTATAGTATATCCCACCTCACAGTGATATACTCTCTGTGGTTTTTTCATGCTTAGATACTGTAGATAGGAAAAAAAAAGATTTCTCAAATTACCTTTAAAAAGAGAAATCAATACCCACTACAACCCAGACTAACAGAAATTTTGCATGCTCAGGAGTTGGCAGATTTTTAATGTGTATATTCTTTGGTCTAGCTGTCTTGACATTGTTGTCTGTTTCAAGTTTGAAGACATCCAAGGACATTTGATAGGTGTAAAACATAGTAGGGACTCTGTCATTTTAATTTGATTACAAGTGAATTATGGGTTTGCCAATGTGATATATAGGCAATCATGTTAGGTTTTGATGGCTAATTCACTGTACTTGGCACCAGTTTTTTTTTTGAATGTCATTAAGTGTGTGCCATTAAAATAAGGAACTGGCCCATTGATAAATTCCACTATGAGTTTTAATTTATCTCCCATTTATGTGGGTCAAGTATGTTAGTTAATGACCATTTTTAAAAGATTAGCAGGAACTGGTACATGACACATGGCAACTATGATTTCTGCATGCAGACTTTCAGGTATAATCTCTGCATTAAGCTGTAGAAGTGTGGGGGAATATGACATTTGTGTAAATGTCAGCATTCAAAGCATTTGGGAAAAAGGGTTCATGGTTTGCCATTTATAACCACCAGTTTCTGGTTAATCTGTAAACAATTAAGATTAATAAAAGTTCCGATTTTATCTCTTCACCACTCACCATTTAGGAAGTTTCTGCTGTTTTTAGCTTTTAAGTGAAAATTATTTATAGTGATGATAAAGTAGGATCTATATTGTAGACTATAATCTGTCTATATAAGGAAAAGTAATTGAAATTCAAACTGAATTATTAAGCCTTATGGACTCAATATTGTGTCCCTCTTATCTCTCTTAAGTTGTAATCAATATAAACACTAACATGATAGTGGGATGAAATGTGCAACCTAGTAACCACAAATAATCTATGATATAATTTTATTGTACCTCAGAATTATTTTTACCAATATCAAGGTGAATGAATTAACTTTTTTTTATCTTCAGGCAGAAGATCCTAAGTGCCTTTTATATATTTGCCCAGTGGCATGTTAAATAGTCTTTAAAAGTTTTAACTCTGCATTAATTTCCTATTTTAGTTTTGATTTGACATAACTAAATGCCGATTGGCTGTATATTTAATTCTTTCAGTAGCAAGTTTATTACCAGGCTGGCCTCCTAATGACAGCAACTATTTTCTTCTGCACAATCATGTTTGAAATAGCTAGCAAATTAGTGAATAACTTTGCACCCATTAATCTCCCTTTGGGGATCAATTCTTATGTAATATTTAAAACGAAATTTCGTATCATTAGTAAATGACATTGCTATCCTAAATTTATGTATCTGTAATTTGTATGTTTAATGGATCATTCATCATTAGTGGTTAACAAATGGTTGTTTAATCGTACAGTTACTTTAGTAATGAATTAATGCAAAGTCTTCTGCGACAGTTGAATTTGGATTATTTAATAATTGCAGTTACTGTGTTAATATATTATATTATATTTTATAGGGGTCTGAGTTGGCCCTGTTCTCTATTTTGTATTGTTTTATTGGATTTTGAGCCAGAAAACTTTCTGTTTTCTTCTCATTTTCATTCAATTGAAAGTACATGTACTTGTTACAGTTTAGAAAGGTTAATCATTTACTATACAGTAAAACTCAATCATAAAGAACTCATTTATAAGGAAATCTTAGTCATTTTAAGAAAACATTTATAAATCCTGTAGAGGTCTTTGCACTATGGGATATAAAGTATTTAGTTATAAGGACACAAATTTCAAGGACCCTGTGACTTCTGTATATCCAAGTTTTGCTGTATTCTGACAAGGTATGTATTGACAAGGTAAACAAAACCAGAATTATAATTCTGTTTTACAGACAAACCAAGGGCTCCCAAATCAGGCAGCTGTGTGGTGTATAACTGGGAAAAAATGGAATGTTACTGGGACCTGGTGGTGGAATACAGACAGCTTCATGGAATCACTGATATCAGTGTGGAGTATCTGAATGCTTCACTGGATTATAGCCTGTAAGTGTAAGGATCAAAGTACCTTACTGCATTGTAGCCTAAGTGAAAGGGTTAAAGTACCGTACTGGATTAGAGCCTGTGAGTGTAAGGATCAAAGTACCTTACCGCATTGTAGCCTGTAAGTGTAAGGATCAGAAAGTAGCTTACTGCATTGTAGCCCATAAGCCTAAGGATCGAGGTAGCTTACTGAATTGTAAGCTTGTAAGTGTAAGGATCAAAGTAGTTTACTGAATTGTACCGGTAAGTGTAAGGATCAAAGTAACGTACTGAATAGTTAACGCTTGTAAACATAAGGATCAAAGTAGCTTGCTGAATTGTAAGCTTGTAAGTGTAAGAATCAAAGAAGCTTACTGAATTATCATACTAGTATTATATGTGAAAAGATCAAAGTACTGGTAGTTTACTGAATAGTAAACTTGTAATTGTAAGGATCAAGGTAGCTTACTGAATTGTAGCCTATAAATGTAAGGAATAAAGTACCTGACTGAATCGTAAGCTTATGTGTGTCAGAATCAAGTAGCTTTTCTGAAATGTAGCCTGTAAGTATAAGGATCAATGTACATTACTGAAGTGTAGTCTGTAAGTAAAAGGATCAATGTATGCTACTGGAGTGTAGTCTCTAAGTAAAAGGATCAATGTATGTTACTGGAGTGTAGCCTGTAAGTATAAGGATCAATGTACATTACTGAAGTGTAGTCTGTAAGTAGTGCCCTGTTCACATGGAGAGTTTAATTCGAATTAAACGTAAGTTACTGGGAATTAAATTTGAACTGCATTCACAGGGAGAATTTAATGCGAATTAGTTTAATTCGAATTAATTTACTGTGCATTAAATTACTTTGCATTAGCTCCGTGTGAACGCTAAGCGAAGCTAATTCGAATTAAATTTTGACGAATTAATTTACTACGAATTAAACTCTCTGTGTGAACAGGGCATAAAAGGATCAATGTATGTTACTGAAGTGTAGTCTGTAAGTGTAAGGATAAGCTTACTGAATTGTGAGCTTGTGTTAGAATCAAAGTAGCTTACTTTATGACGAGCTTGTAAGTGTAAGGATCAAAATACTGTAGCTAACTGAATTGCAGCTTAAGTGTAAGCAAGTACAGTGTACTAGAACCTCAGTATAGTGTAGAAGTGTATAACACACAGGTACAGCCAACATTGTCACTAAAGGTCCATTCACAAATGCATGTTTACAAGTGAAAATTATGCAAATTGTACTCCTAGTACTAAATGTAATTTTTGCTATTCTTTCACATGCACTAGCAAACTGTGTGTAAATCAGAATTAATTTGACAATCTCCAAGCATTCTTAAAAGTAAATTTTACTACATGTTTACATAATTGAAAATACAACCAGAAGTAAATTTACTCATGTATGTAAAAGTTAATTTCCACCCACACTAGGAGTAAAAAAATACTCCTGCAAATTTGTTTATCCTCTGTTCACATGCACCAAAATATACCGGGGTGCAAACTTTGCAGCAATTGCTCTTATGTAACATTTTCAAACCATGTGTAAATTGGTGCATGTGAATTGGGCTTACGGTAATTAGTGTTAATTAGTTTGTACGTGTACGTAATAGGAGGTAGATACAGTATAGCTTGTGATCTGCACAGATAATAAATCTGTACGGATTTACAACATTTCATGTATCAGAAGCATAGAGGAATAGGTATTATTGTTTGTATAACAAACAAGAAACATATGCCTTCATGTGCTGAGATAATTTTAATTAGCATTGAAGTTTTATCATCAAAGTATGCAGTAAAATTTCAGAAAGTAATACTGTTCTGTTAATCTCTTTTAAAAGAAAATTTAAAAGAATAGTAAGGCTTTTAGTGGGTTCACTCAATTACACAATCTCAGTCTGTATGTTATGGCATACTTATTATATAATGCTAGTTTTATGTACTATGTCAAAAGATAGATTTTTATGTACTTCTCTTATTGGTTTTTGGTCTTAGCCCATGAGAAGCTTTCATAATTCAAAGTCTGACAAGCTGTTACACATCACAGAGTCATTGACTCACTTGATGTACTCTTGTTCCTCACTGTTAAGACCCAATATCTCAGCTGGTATCTCGTTATCTCATTATATTGTTTTTCAGAACAACTGAGAAATGGAGTCGATGTCCTTTGTCTGTAAATGGGACACAAGTAACCTGTGTCATTAAGGAGGAAAAGAATTCCCCTCTCTTTATGGGGCACTATTACTTCCGTCTCATTGTCAACAACACGAAGACGCTTCACTCAGCGGTAACTCAGACAGAATTCATGACCAATACACTCGGTAATTATGCATGGATATTGTTTTTGTAGAGTAATGCACTTGCTTGGTTTAGAACAATTTTAGGAAATATGACATAAAATTGGATGTTTTGAATTATCTTTCAGTGAGATCGTGTCTTTTTTTTTTAACTGTAGACATAGATTTTCAGGAAGAACCATATATTTTGCTAATATAGGAGCATGTTTTCAGTGCATGAATGTTATATGTAATTTAGTTGAGTAGGAAATATCGTAAGTTGGATTGATGTTTCTGTTGCAGTGAAGCCTGCCAAAGTACATTCAGTTTCTGCCTTAGCCAATAAAACCTCTATTCATTTAAAATGGAGTGTAGAAAAGCCATATCAGCCACAGTTGTTCAGGATTCGCTTTGTAACTACTTCAGATCTCGACCAAAATCCTCCATGGAAGGTACATAATTTGCACACTGCAGTTTGTCTTCTTCTTTTTTTTTTTTTAAAAAAAAGACTAATTGCTGAGTTCAGAGCATTAATGCTCAAAACTTTTACCACAGAGAATTTTCAAGAAAATATAAGAAACTGCAAACCTTATAATACATGTATGAACATGTATATAAATATGGCAGATTACCATATTTTAATGACACCTTATTTTTGTAAGAGAGATATTTTGTATTCATAAGTGAGACAAAATTTTCACAACTTCTGGTTATTGATGTCTATAATCTTTACTAATAAAAATATTTGTGAGAATGAAATTTTTGCAAGCAAGCAGATAGTCTTGTGTAATTTTGCAAAAAAAAAAAAGTTCTCACGAATAAAAAGTTATTTGCAGTAGTGAGACAGGGAAGGAAAACTCAGTTTTTAAAAAGTATTTCTTTCATGTATTTTGAATTCAGCTTCCCTCTCTTCCTATTTACCCATATATAAATTCATTATCACCAAGTTTACTCCCAAATTATTTACAAGTTGTAATAGTGCTTAAAATATAGATTGTTCTAAAGGCCTACCCTATTTTTGTGATAAAAAATACTGCCATAATACTGTAAATCAACTATTATTTGTGACATCTTTTTCGTGATTTGTCAGTTTGAAATCTATATCCTCATAATTTTTGCAACCGAGGAAAAATTCTGCACAAACACACAGTTATATAATAGATGCAGCGAGAAATGTTTGTGAGTAAAACAAGGTTGCAAAAGAGGCCGATATTTCTTGTACACTAATAAAAGTTGGCTTACAGTATGTATTAGTCATTCCTTTTAATACAGTTTTATTTACCTTTAATCATATAGGTAATTTTCATTAAGATTAATAAGTAAAAGCATTAGACATTACCTGATTGAATTTTATTCATTACATCTGTACTTGCACATGCATGAAAAAACTGTATCATTGCACTTAATCTTTGACCAGTATACACATAATCTAATTAAAATTAGATGTTCCGAATTCCCTACCGCTTCTCAAAGAAGCATAGTGGATCTAATTTTAATTAAATTGGTATATACATACATGTACTGGTATATAGTGATGTACTAGAGAAACACAACATCCTATTTTTAGAGGAAAAAAAATTAGAGATTGGGTATAATTTTGTACTTTATAAGAAAGGACATCTTCAGCTTTTTTATTCAGTAATTTTACAATTGAATGATTTTATCTCGTTACTGGACCAAAGCCTGAGCCTGATTAAACGGAAATAATAAATCACACGTTCAACAAAAAATTTGCATATGATTTAGGTTTGTTTCTGTTCATCATAAGTATGGCAGCATTATTTCGGAAAAAGAGTTCTCGTTTCTTTTCCTTAAATGATGCCAAGGCTTCCTGAAAATGACTGTAAGCATGCATTCCAATTGCTCCTAGCAGAAAATTCTCAAAATGAAGTTGAAAGGGTGTTGAAAGAGTGTTGCAGATTCAAAGATGCACTTTATCACGCCCCTTCGTATGGCACCAGAATCGAGGAATTTGACTTAAGCATCTGAGAAACAGCCACTTCAAAAAGAATGAAAGAGTATTTCTTTCAAGAGTTTGATGAACTCAATGCATTGTAGAGTCTGAGCTACAACTGTTGTGCATGACCTACTTGCTGTAATTCAATTCAGGTGGGGAAAGGGGGGGGGCATTGAACAGTGACTTGTTACTTTCTAAAGTTGAAAGATAACATTCAAGATTTCAATGAAATTTCTGGTGTTTTTAAATCAAGTTATCTCTTCCTATTAAAATCTGAGTTAAATTGTGAATATCAGCAGATAAAAAATATTCATATAGTAGTTAATTGCTTGTGTTTCTTTTGCATGTCAGTATATTTTAAAGATTCTTTCTGTAAATTTCAAATAGAAATGCTGCAAATGATAAGAATTAGAGGTTCTAATATAAATGAATAATCTTTTGTTTTCAGGAAATTAATACAACTAAAACAGAGGCGATTTTGAATGATCTGCTACCATATAGAGAGTACACAATTTGGATAGCTGCTATTCCATTGGTCAGAAACCAGTCTACAGGATTTTGGTCTGACACAACAAAAGCTCATAACACCACATTACAAGATGGTAGGATTAATAAAAGCATACATTAACATTTTTAACCCCCCCTCCCAAAAAGAACTTTTATCAATTATCGCTCTCTCTCTCTCTCTCTCTCTCCTCCCACCGCCCCTCTCAATAGAAATTTTGAAATTACACACTCTTTCTCTCATTTTATGTTAAATTTGTGTTTTCCAGTACCCAGTGATGTACCAGAAATGGATCCAGGATTTTATACTTGTGTTGATACTAATTGTACAGCTGTGTTTATCTTTTGGAAAGTGAGTTTCTTTAAAAAAAAATGTTGCTTTATTGTCTATTCAAGATTGATTTATTATTAAAAAAGAAACCTATTATATCAAAAACTTAATACAAAGATCTATGGATGACTTTCTCTTATTATATTCTTTAAGCCAATAGAGGATGAGCACAAAAATGGCATCATTAAAAAGTATAGGATAATAACAGAGATAAATGGTACACAAACCCAAAAATATGAAATAGAAAATCCCTCAGCGATTGCTGACAAGGTCCCAGTTGACAACAGATTTGACACAAAGATCAAAGTGAACGTAGCCACGGAGGTGGGATACTCCCCAAAAAGTGACTCCTCCCTCATTATCCCTGCATTCCATCAGCGTAAGCACATTAGGTTTCTAGCTCACCTGAACCGACAGCTCAGGTGAGCTTTTCTGATCACATTTTGTCCGGCTGTCCATCTATAAACTTTTCACATTTTCGACTTCTTCTCAAGAACCACTGGACCAATTTCAACATAACTTACCACAAAATATCCATGGATAAAGGGGGTTCAAATTTGTTCAAATGTAGGACCATGCTATCTTTAGGTGATAATTAAGAATTAGGGAAAATTTATTGGCAACTTTTAAAAATCTTCTCAAGAACAGAGGAAACATGTGAAAGCATCCTCAGGTAGTGTATATTCAAATTTGATTAGATCTTGACCCCCAGAGGTAGGATGGGGCCACAATGTGTGATCAAAGTTTTACACAGGAATATGTTGGGAAAATCTTCTCAAGAACCACTGGGCTAGTAGAGTTGAAACGTATCAAACTCCATTATGTATTAATTGTAGATTAAAGTTTGTTCAAATCATGACCCCCCAGGGGGTAGGGTTGAGCCAAAGTAGACATCAGAGTTTTACAAGGGAATATATAGGAAATATGTTAAAAAAATCTTCTCAGGAGCAGTAAAGCCATGACTAGTCAAATTGATATTGAAGTATTCTCTGGTAGTTTAGATTCAAGTTTGTTCAAATCATGACCCCTGGGGGCAGAGTGGGGCCACAAAAGGCAATCAAAGTGGTGTATAGGAATGTATAGGAAAAAAAATCATTAAAAATCTTCGGTTAAAGAACACTGTGCCAGAAGAGTAAAAACTTATATGAAAGCTTCATTACATAGTGTAGATTAAATTTTGTCCAAATCATGACCCTCCAAGGTAGGGTTGGGCCACAATGAGTGATCAAAGTTTTATAAGCATATATACATGTATGGGGAAAAAATCTTCCTCTCAAGAACAGCAAAAACATGAAGCACTCTTAGATAGTGTGGATTCAAGTTTGTTCAAATCATGACATTCCCCCACCCCTGCGTAGGGTGGTGCCACAATGGGTGATCAAATTTTACATAGTAATACATCTGATTTCCTTAAAAATCCTCTACTCAAGAACAGCAAGGGCATGATTAGTCATAATGATATGGAAGCATTCTCAGGTTGTGTAGATTCAAATTTGTCCAATTGTAAACCCTTGAGGTAGGGTGGGGCCACAATAGGTGATCAAAATATTCACATAGGAATATATATGGAAACATTCTTCTCAACAACTGCAAAGACATGATTAGTCATATTAATATGGAAGCACCTTTAAAAGGGGGATGGGGAGGGGGAAGTGGGACTACAATAGATAATCAAAGTAATAAAAAATAAACCTGATGACAAAGAACAGTAGGGCCTCATTGACTCAGTGAGCAATGTGGTCCATAGGCCTCTTGTTTATGATAGCATATCCTGCTCATGAATTTGATACTTTAAACAATTTTCCTTTTTTTGTCTAATTTTTAATTAGGTGCAGACATACTATAAATATTTCTATGAAATTCAATCCCCTGTTAGAGTCTGTTCCTAAAGTTTTTAAAATTTTAGCTGTTATTAGATTTTTATCCTAACAATTATTATTATTTTATAGGTCCCCCCTATCCAGAAAATATTATTGTACAAGCTTTGAATTCCAGTCTGATAAAGTTATCATGGACAGCTCCCAAAATTCCAGAAGATGTAAGGAAATACATGATCACAAACTACTCCATTATGTGGTGTAAAGGAGACCATACTGGATGCAAGGTATAAATCAATTTTATCCCAATGGAAGATACTCTTATTTAGAAATTGGAAAATCAACAATGATCAATGGGGTCACCCAAATTGGTGTCTTTTACTTGGTGAAAATTTAATTAAAAAAAATTGCTTCAACCATAGACATGGATATATTATACTTCACCCCCGAGTTCAATACAGTGAAACCTGTCTAATCCAACATGCATTGGGAGATAAAGACAAGATGTCAGATTTAACAGTATAAAGAATATACAAAATAGTAGTACAATGTATGGGAACTAAATAAGGGTTAGAATTGACGGTAAAATGGATTACACAAGGATGGAATTGGACAGTTTTCACTGTATTAAATTAGTTTGTGCTTACTGTTCATTTGCTATAAAGTAGGGACCCGGCCAATAACAATTAAAGAGGTTTCTTTTCTTTGCTAGAACAATTAAGGTATCTTTGTTTCATAGAGATTTTGTTTTATGTACCTGTTACTGAATGTTGTGTAGAAAACCAGGTTTATAGTTTTTCAGTTTCCAGGTTTTCAGTTTTCAGCATGATTTTTTTTTGTTCTGAATGTAAACTAGTAAACATTAATCAGTTATTTGGTGCATAGTGAATTTTGCTATACTCCTTTTACAGTTTGACAGCAAAACTGTAGGATATGAGGTAATTTGTGTAACAACTCTTGGTAGAAGTTCTGATATTTTATTCATTCTGAATAATACTTTTTTAATTCTGACCTTCAAACAGGGTGCAGTGCTCTAGTTCTTTAACAGTAATACTAGGAATGGGATCTATAAGTCTTCCTAATGGAGAAATCCATATGATTCTATGTACATTTTCCTCATATTTTTCCTTCTCCCATTATTTTCTAAGCTATGAATTTCATTTCTTTTGGATGCACACTTTCATTTTTTTTGTTTGTTTTTGTTTCTGATGGGGAAAAGGTTTTTCCAACTTGGGCTTGTGTAATGCTTACACCACTTACAAATGTAATGTATAATGTGCTTGAAAATGTATTGCATTTGGTACTTACAGATATGATGCATACAATAATATTACAAATGTAATGCATAATTGCTTACAACAGCTTGCATTTTAATATATAAAAAAAAATTATACATCTTTTTCAAATGAAATTGACACAAAGTATAGCTATATGTAGGTAAAGAAATTAGACTGAAAGTGTATGATATGGCCAAATGAAGTTGTTTTTTTATAACCCCCCCCCCCCCTTCTTCCCAAATCAAAGGAAGGATTTCTCACACTTCATAGTTTATACAGAGTTTGGCTTTTACACTATCTATCATGTCTGATGTTTGTGTTGTTATACCTATGGTTTCTTTTATTAGAACTTCTTCAAAAATCTATGGAAGATGTATGAATGATACTACAGTGGCGCCTCTGTCTCCAACGAAATCGTCCGGATAATTGAATCACATCTCAAAGAGCACTCTCTAAGCATGTATATGTGCACATTCTTGTTTCAAATGTGACAGCAAAGAAAAAAAAAACTTTTAAATTATATTTTGGTTAATTGTTTTAAAAGCAGTAATTAATTAATGAAAAAATATATTAAAATGTAATTTACACAATAAAAAAAAAATGAATGGGCAATTTTATGCCGAGACCTCCTTTTTTTAATTCGCCTTCTCTTTGGCATGTGACTTCATGGATTGAGCAAATTTTGATCTACTGTTGTTTTAGTTTACCATATATTATAATTATTGAAGCTCATATGATATGACAGAACTGTTCAGCATCATCATTGAAAATGTTCAAATATAAACTAACCCTGTATATTCCCCGTATATTCAATACACAGGGTTACTATAAAATTAACTGAACACTGCAAACTAACTCAAGCAAAGTATTAAAAATATTCGTAAACACAAGCCATCTTCATGATTATCAGTATTATTTTTTTTTCTACAGACACTAAGTTTGAATTTCGATCATAAAAAAATACCTTGAAAAACGTAATCAACTTCTGTACGTAACGCCATTTTTATATGCAATGGACGTTTGTAAACGGTAGTACATTAAATAGAGATATTTCTTCAATTATGTACCTTTCTATACTGTCTTGTGGGGAAAAAAACGTTTCAAATACATTTACGATTTTTAGAAATGGAACATCGTATTTTAAACTAACGCAATCGACATGATAAAGAGCATTAAGAAATCGCTCGTTATTTATTGTTCATTTTATTTACAACTCTCCAAAATTCTCCTGAATTTACCGATGCGGTTAGCAATATGATTTTGAACGGATTATTATTTAATTAATGCACAGTGTCAGCTAAATTCTTTGAGCTTCATAATAAAGATAAACGTGTGATTGAATTGGGGTAAACACACGCTAATTATAGGCGCTATTGTTTGTAGGTCACAGGTAACCGCCTTCAAACTGACTGCATGGCCAATGTTTTTGCAACAATTAACACGAATGCAAGATAAGTGTGAAAATGTCGTTTCTTGAAAAAATACCGTCCGGATAAACGAGTCATTTTTCAATGAACTATTATGTTTTGTAGTAGAAATTGACCGTCCAGATACGGAAAGCGAATTTCCGGATTAATGAGACAAAATAACGTGGAAAAAATCGGTTCCCAAAAAATATCGTCCGGATGGAGAGCGTCCGGATAAATGGCGTCCGGATAAACGCGGCGCCACTGTATATGATCTTTACTTGGAATATGGCTTTAATATTCATATTGATTATACCATATGATGACCAATTTCTGTGATTCTAAAATTTTTGCAACATGATTGATACTTTAAAAGTAATTAATACATGAATGTCTACTCAAGGGTCACTTCTCTATAAAGGTCACTTTCAAGGGTTCCTGCAGGTGACTGATTAATAAATGTAATATAGGTTTGACTGTATATAACAATTATTTTCATTTAAAAAGACTATATTGAGAAAAATAACAATGTAAGTAGACTTTTGTGAAATTTCAATTGGACATCATATTCCATAAATTTTTAAAAACAACTTCAGATATAGCGTGTCATATGGTGTAACAATTTTTTACTGTGAGTGTCCTTTACACCTGTGTCTTCTGAACTTAAGACTATTATATGAATTCTGTTCATAGTAAAGTAGTATATTGTCTGTCTATCTGTTTGTGGTGTCAACTTTTCTTTCATTGAGTTCCTTCTTGAATGAGAAATTTGAGATATATTATTATCAAGAGGTCACCAAAATTGTATTTTTGTTGGGGGGTGTGATGGGGGGGGGGTCAAAATTTCAACATGGCCACCATGGTTGTTTATTGGTTTCGCTATTTTTTCAACTTGTCTGCCTTTCCCTTCTGATTATAAACTCATTCACCCATTTAGACAACTTTTTAGCTTACCTGAGCCAAAATGCTCAAGTGAGCTTTTCTGATTGAAAAGGGTCCAGAGTCCTTCTGTCTGCCTGTCTTCATGTGTTGTCTGTAAACTTTTCACAGTTTTAACTTCTCCAGAATCACTGGGCTAATTACAATTTGGAATTATTGAAAATTTGGTGACACCTTAAAAATCTTCTCAAGAACCACTATCATAGAAAAGTTGAAAGTTCATGAAAGCTTCCTGATGTGTCATGTATAGTTTAGATGTTAGTTAAAATCATGGCCCCAGAGGCAAGGGGCCACAAAAGAGGATTTAAGTTTTATATGTGAATTGAAGGGAAAAAAAATCTGTAAATTTTTCTCAAGAACAACAAGGCCATGATTAGTAATATTAATATTCAAGCATCCTCAGGTAGTGCAGAATCAAGTTTGTTCAAATCCTGGTCCCTATAGATCTAGGGTAAGACTACAAAAAATAAACACAATTATCATTAGAAATGTTGGGGAAAAAATATACAGTAGGGGATTTTTTTCCCTCAAAATCCATTGGAGCATAATTATTGCTTGTAGTATGCAAGCATCCCCAGGTATTGCAAATTCAAGTTTATTAAAATCATGATCTCTGGATGTTAGAAAGGGGTTGTAATAGGGGTCAACTTTTTTTTTAAATGAAAAATTCTTTTGAAATATTTTTTTCTGAAGAACAGCAGGGTCATTGTGACTTTGGTGAGCATTTTGGCCCATGGGCCTATTGTTATTTTCAAGATCAAAAATGTTTTCAGTACTTAATTTTGGAGTGCTTGAAATTTCAAACATGCCACCATTGATTGCTTTAAGATCAGCTACCTCTTCTCATACTTTTTGAAATCCTTTTTTACTTAGCTGTGTGGTCATGATATAAGAGAGCTGTAAAACTATAGGTTAATGTTCTCTTAGTATTTACAACATATTTCTCATCTTATAGGGAGAAATAAATTCTGAGATACTTCCTATCAAAAAAGGATGGAAAAACTATTGGAGAGAGCTGAGTGTTACCGACTCCTTTGAGAAGTTTGCCTTTGGCATTTCAGTAGAAGCGTTCTTGATTAAGACAGGCCGCTTCATCAGCAGTGGTATCAAGTGGAGTCAGTGCTCTTATGCAGTGGATGCTGGTAGGTTTTACAGTTAATTAAGGAGGCTCCAAACACTGCACACTTACTACATGTAACTCTATGGTAGTTTTATGCAGTTAGGGTGATATGTTCCGAGATGTAAGATAGAATAAATGGAAATCTGCAGTGAATGACTACAATAGATTAAAATATTCTTCACATAATTATATTAGTTCAAGATAAAGTAAAATTATTTGCATGTATTTTCTCAGAGTAAGTAAAGAGCAATGATTTCTGTTCACTAACACCCCGTACTTCATTGTATTTGAACATTTTGCTGGGGAAATGTGGCAAGTATCGTGAATATGAACTTGATAAATTCAACATATACACCTCTGTAATATTTCCAAAGTCCAAGGAAGCATTTTTCATTAGTATTTAGAGCCTCTCATTGGATTTCGTTTCTTCTTTTTACACAGAAACATTTACCAATGTTTTCATTTGATTTTTGTTGTAAACCTGATTTTTTTTTTTTTGCAGTGCCTAAGGAACCAGTTGACATAGATCCAGTATTAATTGACACCCATGAAACCAGCAACAGTACAATGTTGTTTAACTGGAGTAGTTACAGCTGTAAGAATGACAGAGTGGGTCCTGTCCAAAATTTCACTGTGACAGTCTGCACTATTAACATCAGTGAAAACTGTGAAGGTTAGAGATAGTGTTTGTCATATTTAAGTACAGTCAAACATCAATATCTTGAACTTAAAGGGACCAAGAAAAAACTTCAAGGTATGCAGGTAAAAATGCATAAAGAGTAGTTGGACTTCCAACTCACTTCAGAATATCCATAGATATATTTGAGTATAATATTTGAATCCCGTAGATTCAAATATTAGAATATAAGACATTTAAGTCAATTCTCTGATATGAAGCAGCAGAGACAATTGACTTCTGGGATATGCAGAAGGTTAGCATGCGCTGTCTTGTTTCTACGTTAAAGAAAATACTGCTGTAAAACTTGCCTTATACAGACACTACTTGTTCCAAAGAAATTTGTTGGATTAAATAACATTCTGCATCAGGAAACATTTATAGACAGTTGAATGTACTGGGGCAAATTAAATTTTTTTTATCATAATAGACAAGATTCAAAATACACAACATCTGGATTACTTGAATTGTACTGTATAAGTAAATTTGTTGTGAATTATGAACTTTACATTGAATATGCAAAATAATTTTGGCTGCTTGTCTACAGGGACACCTCGGATTGTTGTTCTGAGTGGAAACACAACCTCCTACAGAGTCACAGATCTGATTGGTGGAAAACTTTACAAAATTACAGTGACTGCTGCATTTAAGGGAGGCAACTCACCCACTGGACAATTCAAGTTTAAATCTCCAGCAACATCACTATTTAATTCTTCAAACACAGGTATTCAGCTCTTACATTAAAAAAAAATTAACAATATTATATGGAATTTATCTTTATATCAGCATTTTAGATTTCCAAACTTTAATGCCAAAATCTAAATCTTGCACAGATAAATATTTAGAATACTACAGAATTCTAATGTTAAAAAGTGCACATACAGTTTATAAATTGTATCTGTAGATTTAATTTGTTCATTAAGTAACAGTATTTTGTTTTATTATATAGCTTATGAATAGGCTATAATAAAAAAAAAAAAAAAAAAAAATGTTTTATTGAACGCTGAGTTTGCATTACGCGTATGAGTATGTCCCAAAACATTCCGAATACGAGCATTTAATATTGAAAGCCCCATTGTAAGCAAAGTATGTTGTCTGGTCAATCGTTCAACGACAATATTTATGAAGAGTAGAGGCAGATAGGTAAGATGTGTCTATTTTCACACAAAATTGAAATTATTAATAATTTAGTACCTATTAGCCTCAATAAAAACATCAGTATATAAGCAAATCAGAAAGCTTGGTAGGGTCATTGGAATGATGTGATATATTGAACACTTACAGGATACTGCAGTTTTAATATCTGGTACTGAAAATTCTCATTAATTTTGAGTTAATTAATTGAAATAATTAATATAAATCAATGAGAAATATTTTAGCTATATAATAAAGGAGTTATTGAACTTACATGTATATTGGTGAATATTGGCACTCGTTGGTTGTACAAATGCACTCACAAGCTTGTGCATTTGTACAGCCAACGAGTGCCAATATTCACAAATTAATGTAAGTTCAATAACCTAAAATACTGATACATGTGTATCAAATTAGATTGTTCTTGAAATATTTTATAATATACTTATTTAATGAGATTGATCATTCATATTTTTGGCATCTTTGGCACAATCCATTGTTTGCTAATTCATGCTTACCATCAAAATATAAAATTGTATAGAAGTATTATGTAAAATCTTGATTGAGCCAATTCAACATGATATTACTAAATGATCTCTGACCCACATGTATGTTGAGTACATTACAAATACAGTTAATTAAGTTGCTCCTGAGCAGAATTAAGGAAGGAGTGCCTATAGTATAAAAAAATGTTTTTTATATTCATTATTAGTTTTAATATATCCTATGTAAATCACTGTTTGAGATGTGTCACAGTTCTCTTTTCTCACAACAAAAATTACCATTAATGACCAAATTCTCTGCATGTTACGTGGTAGCAAAGACTGGTATTATCCTCACGCAGCAATATAAAGAATGAGATTGAATGCTGTATATTATTCAAGTTTCCTGTTTGGGGAATTGTGGGTATAAATGTGAAACTAATCACTGTCTGCTTTTGGATAAATGCTAGCTTTGCTATCTGCTATGATGATTTTGCTTTTAGGTGGTGCCGAGGGTGGTGCTCCGTGGGGAATCATTGCTGGGATTGTGGCGGCTGTCATAGCAGTGGTTGTAATCATTATTGTTGCTTGGAGAATAAGGTAGGTTTTACAATAAAATATGCTCTCTGTGATATTTTAAGATAATCTCATGGTAACGATCTATATAACCATAGTTGTTGCTTGTTTGTCTGATCAAGAATTATTAAAAGTTAGTATGAATTCTCTGAGAATCAGTTTATAGTAATTAGTTTGTTATGCATTCTTCACATTAGGGTTATTTGAATATTTTTCTGTTGAAAGTTGCAAGGAAAGATTACTGTATATACAAGCATGTATGAATGTCAGACTTTGTTGATGTGCTGTTGGTGTCTGGTTTATTGTAATTTGATGCTTCTTACAAAAAAAAAAATGATGTGTTATAGGATTTAGTCTGAATTTGTTCTTCTAGGCATTATGTAAATTTGTAATTGACAATTAATGCATTCATGAACCAGATTTTAAGAAAGATGGGATAGGAACTGCGGTTTCTGTATGTGTTGCATGGAAATATTAGCTTTCCTGTTGCATGTTGAGCTGTTTGGTCCAATGTTAATAAAACATGAACATCATTTTTATAGAAAACTTCCATGTTTAGCATTGGGGGTGCAAAGGTGAAATATCACAATGGAGGAAAAATTAAAATATGTCTCTTATGTGTGTATTTCAGAGGAGCTGTTCACTTGATCAAATATACAAAAGCTGCCGAAGCACATGGTTCCTTAGTAAGTTAATTGGCAAGAAAAGCTGGGTGGACAGGTATTCTTGGCATGTCAAAGAGAGGCTTGTCCGATCTTGTATCGTCTTTATCAACAGTTACCTGTGTGTTTGTTTTTATAGTCTCGGTAATGGGTTCCATGTTTTATACCTGTACAATTTTTGTCATCGGATAGGATTTCCTAGTTTGTACAGTCAGTTGTATTTGTTATTTGTTACAACATGTACAAAAGATCTTTTCAAAGAAACTGCTGTATTTGTGTTTGAAATTATTGGTATAAAAATGAAAAATGCCTTGGGGGGTTGATAGTGCATGATGTATATGTGGTGTGGGGTGATACACTGGAATTGTGGATAAAATGTTTTATGGAAATAAGTTGTCAAAAAATGTAAAATAAAGAGAGAGCAAGATGGCATTGAGAAGAGTGAAATTCATGATCCTAAGATAAAATTAATCAGAAATGGATGAAGATTCTAGTATGAAACTTTGCAAAAATTGTCTTCTTTGGTACTGAACATTTACCACTTGAGATTGTTTTTAGAACATCTTTGTTGCAATTAACCTGTGTCTTTCACATGTTTCATATATAGCTTTGTGAAAAAAATGAAAAAGTTTTGCATGAAAAAAAGTGTGCTACAAGGCCCTTGGGCCTCTTGAACTAGAAATTGAGAGTACATTTGTATTGTAAACTTCTCTTTGAATTAAGAATTCAACAGTTCAATAAGTTGGAGTGATTTAACTTCCATTTTTTAAGTGCTGAATGTATAAGTGCAGAATTTTTTAACAGTGAAAATCTGTACAATCTTCTAAAACTATAATAATGACAATTACTGTTATTGCTAACACACTGTAGAATTAATAATAATGGTTTCTTCCATTTCCAGGCATTGTTTAAAAACACCTGATGTAGAAATAGAGATGCCTGCCGTAAGTGTTTTTTTTCCCTTAAGTGATTAGTAACTCAATAAGTAACAAAATTATTTCCCAGTTGAAAAGAAAAAAAAAACATTGACTCATTTTATTTTATTGGTATTGCATATGTCTGCAGACAATTAATTTGAAACCTTATTGTAGAAAGACAAATGAATCCAGTTTGAAAGACAATTGATTTGAAACTTTATTGTAGATAAAAACCAATGGAGAAATATCTAGACTGCCAGAGTCTGCTGTCACCGAAAATGTGCCTTTGCTTCATTCTTCCGAGAATCAGTCGACATCTCCTCGAGCTGTACAAAACGGAACAGCGATACCAACCCAGATGCATGATAATTCTTACTATGAGTGCAGTCAGAATTGCTCCAAATACTATGACCAGAGACACAGTGATAATAACACAGAACATTCCTATATCCAGAATGATTCTGGATTAATTGAAAGTAAGAAATCCAGGTCACCTGGATCTTCACAAACTGCCAGGGATAATGGTTGTCCCCCAGCTGTGGGTCATGGGTCCTCTTACATTGATCACACAGTGGCTATGGGACTTCAGCCTATTCAGCCATGGGAGAGTGGTTTAGGCTCGTCTTCTTATTGCCATTCTGGAGAAATTGACTCGTATGCAAAGGCAGGTGAAATGAATATTTGTTCTGTGAATTCGGACAAAAGCACTTCCATGTATATTCCTGGTGGTGCATCCGGACATGATCAGAATAATACATCATCAAACAGTTTTGATGAATTCGGCTATTGTAAGAAATGATCATTCATAGATCTGTGTTATAAGGTAGCTAGCATCTGATTATTTTTTCATATGTGTATGTAATAATTTCAGAAAAGGCAAAGGCATTCCACTTGATCTGTCCACAATAACTTTTTCTCAGGGTTTTCAGGAGTATTTTATATACATGTAACATGTACAGAAAAGAATCATATTTGCGTAAATTTTAAAATGTTTATCAGCCGCACAGAAGTAACCATTTAGAATATATTATATAAACTGCATGCAGAATGTACAATCTAGATTATGATTTCCACTTTTAAGAGGTCAAATTTTAGTTAATTTGTAGGAATTATTCAATTTTGAAATTAGATTAGTAGGTCTACTTTTCTTTCAGTTCAAGCTAAAGCACACAGAAATTAACTTCAAAGTTAATTTTATTGAACTATTGCCCTTTCCCTTAAAGGAGTGGCTTTTTTAAGCATGAATATTCCTTGCCGCAAACCATTTACTTAATTTTGTATATATATATATGTATATGTATATATATATATATATATATATATATATATATATATATATATATATATATGAAATATTTTCTCAGCCACCAGAATTTATTGGCACAGATGGATTTCAGAGTGACGATAGATGAAGCTGTTATGAATTATTGTTGGTTTACAGTACCAATGGATACTGTGTTGTTTATTAGTCCTACCTAGTAATCAGTATTGTTTACCACCTTTAAGCTTGTAGTACCCTAATTAGAAGAAGTTTTAGAAGTCTTTTTTTCTGATCTTTTGAACTATTTTTAAGCTTTTAAGCATTCCTTTCCTTTTACCGTTGCATTATGTTTGCCATAGTCATTTAAATAAATTCCAATATTGTGCCATAAAAACTATAAGAATATATCTTTTCATATACACTTGCCAAAGATAAAAAATAAGCAACCAGTATTTTCTAATGCACTCTGTGTTACACATTTTGCTGATACTGAGTTTAGAATTTGCTATAGGCATTAATTGCCAATATAACAGATTTAAATAGTGCTACTTTTTAAATTTCTCTTTGAAATCATGTTCAATATATATACATGTACATGTATATATATATATATATATATATATATATATATATATATATATATATATATATATATATATATAGAAAGCACAAAGAAATTCACTTTTATAAGGATACCCACTTCCGCCCCAGCCCGGGGTTGAACTCTCAACCTATGGAATCTGTCTCCTAGCAGTACAAGAACAGTGCGCTAGACCGCTCGGCTATCTAGGCAAGTCAAAAAACTTGCTTTCGATGCCGATGGAATTCTCGCGGCGCTGTCCTACTGTACACTACACGGTTCATTGAGAATGGAAGTGAGATACAGTTATTTGGACATTAGTTTTATATATTTATATATATATATATATATATATATATATATATATATATATATATATATATATATATATATATATATATATATTTATATATATATATATATACTGTTTTATTTCCTATAGGAGTTCCTGTATAGCATGAACACTTGAGAGGTCAAAGTACATGTAGTCTGTTATGTGATATAGTAAGGGGTAGGGGTGGGGTGCAGCAACCATGAGATTTCTTAACACACACCTGTCTTTGTTAGCAGTTTGAACTTTAAAGTATCTTAATACAGGTAGATTGGTTGTGATAATTTCCCATTGATGTGTACCATTGTGTTCTGTTGCTTTTGCTCAGGTGTAATCTTTACCATTATACCGTTTTATCCTTGTTATACTGTATATGACTATCATGTTAAATCTTCTGTGTACCAAGTTTGAAAATATACTTAAGAATTTCTACCTAAAGTTTTTTTTTTTTTTTAATGGAAAATAACAATGAGATTTTAGTGTTTACCTCTGAATATAAACTACAGATTATATCTGGTTGTGTGTGAAAATATTAAGTTAAATGACATGTATATTTTGTTTTTTTCCTTGGATAATTACACTGTAATACAAACATGCACATGTATAAATTGTTTAAGTCTTAGTTGAAAGTCATTTTGCAACAGTAAATTTAAACCACATTAAAGCTGTATAATTTTGGTCAATTTGCTTATATATAAAGAATTCACGCTTATGGCCAAAATATACTTTGTTACCAACTCATAAAAAAATTATGCAAAATTAACTGCACATACCAAGATACATGTAATTCAATTACAATTAAAGCAATTTTTTTCATTAGGGTAAACTAGATCTTCAAGCATAGGTAGACAGTAGTTTATCAAAGAAGAGTAATTTGAGGGTTATTTACATTAAGGGTAAGCCAAATCTTTAGCCTCCTAACTGCTGGCTTGGCTTCCGAAATTCAACTTTACTGTAAAACCTAGCTTGTTGAAATATAAATACAAACAGACAGTCCACAGACATCGGGTTGAAATGACATTTTTATTTTTTCAGTTTTACCAATGATTTTAGAGGTCTGATAATTCTTTTTTATAGTCTTTTTGGGGTAAATGTCCTGCTTTTTTTCTATTTTGTTATCAAAATAAAAAAAGCATTAACTTATTTATTCACATTTTTAGGTGAGGTACTATTTATCTTTTAATACTTCCTGAGTACTTTTTTAAAATTTTAAAATTCTTATAGCAGAGTCAACAACTTTTTTTCTACAAAAGTTTGCACATCATTTTTAATTTTTTTTTTGGTTATGTTGTTAAAAGCTTTAGAGGTAGTTAGTGAATTTTCCCCCCGGGCTACTTCCTCTCTGTTCAGAGGGGATGGGGTGACCTCTTTCAATCAGACCTCCTTTAGCGATTTGTTTAATTAAATGGTAATTGGAAGAAGGGAGCTTTTCACGAGTAAGACATGCAATATTTGAAATTGTAAGTCATAAAAAATGTTACATATACATATTATAGTATTGTTATTTATTTCCTAAATAACTAAAATAAGACATTTACTTTTTTTAAAACTTGTACATACACATTTGACAAATTTTACAAATGTTTCAAGCTTTGGTTTTTTGTTGGCCTTTTTTTTAGATAGGTGCTTTAATCACTTTTTGAGTGATATTTGTTAGGATGGTATGCATGTATGATTTCCTACACAGAGTAAGCTGTTCTGTTAGAAATATCTCCTGTTTTCTTGTCTTATTTATATTTTTATCGTTTGTTGTATCATTTTAATAAAATTATGCCTGCATCAATGATTTTCTGAAATACACTGTACATTAAGTAAATTGGACACACTTTATAGAAAAAAGTTTATATTTGAATAAAAAAAGTTGTGCAGAAACTATTTTAATATTTCAACTTACTTTATACCTGAGCATATATCAATCTCTCATTTATGACATTTTCTTTATCTATGTATTTTTCCTTAAAGTTTTAGAATGAAATATTATGTATATTCTGTTGTTATGGCCCGGCTTACTGAAATCAATGGCCCAAAGTTTTAATGTTTGTTGTCTCTGTCTGGCCTATCAAAGAACTCTGAGATTTACATGTCAAATCTCAAATATTTCACTAATTCAATAATAATAATTTGGCAAAAGTGTTATCTTACTTGTTTCATATTCACAATAAGTCAATTAACAAAAACTTGCAAGATCAATTTTTTTTAAGTCAAATGGAAACATCAAAACCAAATAAAGATTTGTCACCACAGAAATTTTTCAGGACCTTCAACACAAAAACTTGTTTATAGAAAAAAATTGTTTTGCTGACTAATGTTTCCTGTCTTGCATCTCTCCAGTATGTTAGCATATTGGATCACTAGTCTTAGGGGGTAATTTTCTTGCAGACTTCCCCAGGTGTTTACTGTATAGTCTTTTGAAATGACCAATATTCAGGCAAAGTTTATTTTAAATCTAACACTCATTTTCTGTTTGCTGCAGGTAAATTGAATATATATATTTGAATATACATATTTGCACACTAGTGAACTATATATGACTTAGGTGAGCATAATTATGGGCAGCTTAATTGCGCATGTTTCAGATGTCCTTAGAATCATACGGCATTGTCTGATGCAATACCTTTTCACTATTCTTTTCAATATTCTGTGATTTAAAATTTTGTTAAAAACTAAATTTTGTTTGCTATGAAATCTGGTATTTAATTCTTTTGTCTTAGTTCAGAGAGCAATATAACCTTGTAATCTAGTAATGAAGAGAGAATAAAGAATGGTCACAATTTATTTAATTTTTCTATTTTTTGTTTTACCTTCATACAGATGTATCATCACATCCTACTGTTATTTTTGTAATTTTGTTGGTAGACAAAAGAATGTCATCCCGGTTTTATAATAAAGATGTTTTATCATATTCTTTAGTTTTTGTCTTTAAATATATGATAAATACAAGAGGCATAAGGGTCTAGATCTAGAATTGCTCTTCTGATAAATTGTACAACATTCACTGTGACCTACTTTTTGGTCAACAACATATCCTTAAGCCCAAAGGCATAGCTACCAACAGGGCCCTTCATTTGAACAATTTAAAATCCCCTTTACCCAAGGATGCTTTCTGACAACTCTTGGTTAAAATTGGCCCAGTGGTTCATGAGAAGTAAAAATTTGGAAAGCATACAGGCAGACAGACAAACAGGCACTAGACAATGCCTTGCATGCCAGATAATGACCATCCTTACAATGTCAATGTCAACACTGGAACTGGCTAGGCCATGTACTTAGAAGGGACTTGGACAGCATCATAAAGACAGCTCTCTTCTGGACACCAGAGGGAAAACGGAAGAGAGGAAGGCCCAAAGTCACTTGGTGGCGGACAGGGGAAGCCGAACTTAAAGAACAAAAGAGAGGCTGGGGCACACTCCAAAAGCTAGCCAGTGATAGACTAGGATGGAGAACCCTTGTTACTGCCCTATACGCCAAAGGCTTCACGGGCAGGAAGTAAGTCACAATGTCAGGGGTCCCGAGTCAACATGTTGGCGTTGGATCCGACAAACTTCATTTGATATTTTACAGGCTGACCGCAGTGACATCTTTTTGGGAAAAAACAAATCTTGAATGTTTTTCCTACCTCTTCACCATCACAGTAACCCTTTCCATGACAAAAAACCTGTAACATGTGCATTGAGGTATCAACTACTTACTTTCTGTTAAGGACATACACAACGTACCTTACCTACTGATAATTTTTCAAGATATTCTTAAGATTATAATGCCATCAAATGTTCGTGGACAAAAATTCAGCATGCATTACCAGGGGTTTTTAAAAGATATCAATTGACGAAAATTCTTGTATAATTCAAAGAAAAATCTACAAAAATTACTAAGCATATATTCTAGATGTTTTGTTGATCCAAACTTGTTCCGGAGGAAGTGTACAGCACCATATATAGACATTAAAATGTAGCACACAGTTCCTTTAAGTATTGGAACTCTTCAACTCCAGGGAAAAAGGCAATGAAGTTCAAACTATGTTGCGCATGTCCTTAACATTTTATATCAACTGATGAAAGCCCTGATCTGATTGGTGCTCCTCAATGTG